TTATTATTATTATTATTATTATTATTATATATAGTAGATAATTATATTTATCAAAATTGTATAAATTGCTACAAATTGTTTTGAAATTTCAAAATACTGTAATGCCTTTTATCAAATCAAACTTAATTAAGTTTTTCTTATTGAATTTATAATAATTTTTTCGTGTAACCTATTCTATTTATTTTCTAACTCGATTTTGCGCCCGAATGATTCAAACATTGAAATAATTATGAAATAATGAATTGCATCAAATACAGAAAAAAAATGAACTATATTTAATAATTTTTGTTAATTTTTTATTAGAAAACTAAGAAAGATATTGATGTAGAGTTTGTTGTGCTTAATAAATATACTCTTAAAGTACATTAAAAAAATTTTTTTATTTATTTTATACGCTCTATATACATTGGAGAGGCCTTTGAACGGAAATCCTAAAAATAGACTAGCCTTTGCGGTGTTGTAAAAATCTTAACATCGAATTATCTGAAATGAAAAACTCGAATAGTTTTATGTTCACAAAGATTACATCAACCGCTGGTAGCAGATTTTTTCATTTACAAACAAAAATAACAAAATGGTGTCAGTTGAAAAAATATTATTAAAAAATCTCTTTTTTTTCTTATTTTTTGCCCAAAAAAATAGTAAAAATGAAATTTTTTTTATAAATCTGCTACCAGCGGTTAATATATGTGTATAGATTATGTGGTAAAAATTTTAGACGAATCGAATAGCTAGTTTTGGAGATTTTTACAACACGCGGTATAAAAACGTGATTTCGAGAAAAACGCATTTAAAGTTTTTTTAAGTAAAAAATCACGAAAAACGTTAACTTACGCTTAATCGGCGATACCTGCACGATATACTATGCCTTCTGACTGCTCTAGAAGATAATGTTCTTCAAGTCTAGCTTGTCTTTTTTTTGTTCATCTCTTTTTAGAAGCTTCAGACGAGCGGCGATTTTCTTTGACAACGCGCTCGTTGTCTCGTTTGCTAGCATACTGAGCAGCAATTTTTCCGATTGTAATGCCCATTATCTCCATAATTTTTAAAATTGTTTGAAAACCTTCATTAAATATGCATGCTGCAGTAAGGCATGCAATTCTGACAATATTTTTTCCATTGAAAATGTGTTTAGGTGCAATGGCCCATACCGTGGAGTGAATACCAGTTTTTACGTCTACAAAATATTATTTATTTACCGAAAATAATAAAAAAAGGCAGAAATAAGAGATTTATGATAGTACGCAGTTGATCGAACAAACAAAGCAAAGTGGTATGAGTAGGTTCACCGCGCGCTACAGATTACCGCGCACGGGTAGATTCGAGTGACGGAAAAGTACATTTAGGATGCTCTGATCTTTTTGAAATTTTCAGAGAGTATTCTTAAATATATTTACTTACGAATAATAAAAAAAAAAAATTAAAAAAAAAATTACAAAGTAGAATCCTGCCTTAAGACACTTTAAATAATTTTTTTGAATTTTTTTTCGAAAAGTACATTGAAAAACAAAACTTTTATGTAGAATGGTAATTTTCATTTAGATGAGTTTTAAAAAAGTTACGGGCTAAAAACCACAGAAAGAGCTGTTATTTTTTTAATTCGATATCTTAGGAACGGATGATCAAAAAAATGCCAAAATTTAGGAGGAAGGGTTTTTCGATGGGTACTAAAAGATATCAAAAATGGCTTAAATCAAAAATAAAAATTTTTAAAACCGTCCGATTTAACATGGAATGCCCCATATGCAGATACTAACATATACGTACACATACATACCTTACAAATACAAGTATGTGGGATATATCAGAGGACACACATACTCTTACGAGATAACCAATTTGTCGCTTTAACTCAAATTCCTTCATGAAACTCTATTCGATCGTGCCTGGTCGATAGGCTATATTGAACTTTGGCTTCTAATTTCTCTTCTAATTTCAAATATCTTCCTTCGGATTAACAAATTAATACCAACGACAACGACGATGACTCGATCATTAATCCTTAATAACAACGAGTATTTTTCAACCGGGTTAAAAAGTCCTAAAGTACATTTAAAGAGAGCTACTTATAAATAACTTTCTGAAGATCGAATACGTAACATTTTGTATAAAATTCGATTATACACGGAAACCTACTAACCGGCTAAAATGTTGCAGCGTTTGGGTGATAGGTATGAGGGAAAGAGGGAAAGGGTTTGGGAGGTGGGTTGTTCTCGCGTTTAATTGAAAATTCAAATTCCGTGGATATCCCTGGATACTCTCTGTAGAGAGTATCGGTGTTGTGACGACGACGCGACGATCGGTTTTGTGACGCTTCCCTGCAAGGGAATTATTTGTCGTCACTCTACTTCCTTCCCACTGCAACGACCAAATTTCTAATCTATATATATACACATACACATAGACACACTTAACATGCAAGTTAAAATATGGAAATTATGTGCATATGTATATATATATACGCGTACGTGCGTGTGTGTATGCGATGGGCAACGAATCCGCGAGTGGTTAGGAGACTTCTGTCGATGTCGTCGCTAGGAGAGAACAAAACTAGCCTTAAACTAGAACTTATGTCACGAGGGAGAACGGAGATTGGAAGAGAATGAGACACAGAAATTGAGATAGAAATATATATACATATATATATATATATATATATATATCTATATATATATATATATGTATAAAGAGAGAGAGAGAGAGAGAGAGAGAGAGGAACGAATAAAACATACTCACACATGCACATATATGCACATACGCTCATACACTTTCGTATCAATCTATCTAATCACTCATACATATACGTATGTACACATACATTGATATTCTCTATCTGCTTTTCTAACCTGTTACATTAAAGTGGAAGAGTTAGAGAGAGAGAGAAAGAGAAAGAGAGAGAATGCACTTGCATATCTAGGTACGTATGTACATACAAGTACACCCTCTCCTTCTTTAGCATATTACTCTAGAGAGAGAGAGAGAAAGAAGAATGAGAGCCAGGGAGTGCCGTACCGAAGTTAATAGTCTAACTTGATTTGTCTAATTCGACTAGTTTCCTAACTGCTTTCCTCGCCAAGTATGCGCTTGATTTTCGTTCTAAGTGCCGTCCAATTTAAGTCGATTATCCGGGGAGCGTGGGACGAATGGTAGACTTTACCAATCGGAGAGAGAAAAGCCCTTTTTCCCAAAGGAAGGAAGAGTCACAAGCGGATCGGAACTGGGCGGTAATCGTTACAGTGGTTAAGTGCTTCGAAATCGCGAAAACTCATGTTTATGGAGAACGGAAGTTTACCTTCTTTATAAAAACCGATTCTGTTGAATGAATGAGAAAAAAGCAGAGAGACAGAGAAAGAGAAAAAGAAAAAGAGAGAGTGGATGAGAGATAGAGAGGCCACGCATATACGCTTTCGTGATCTCGATAATGGGCCTGAAAGGTTATCTCAACGTGTCATCTCACGGGACGTGGTAATCGATGCCCTCGTTATCGTCTTTTTCTATCGTATAGAAAGGTTCGAAAAATAAATGGAAAAAAACATGAGAGTGAACTAGCAATGCACTTAACCACTATGTCGTGTCATTGTTTTCGTAAATATTAGTAGTACACGATACGTTGTTCCTATCGATTCATCACGCGATACGGTAATTACCGTACTTGCAGAAACACGTACCACGTGAACATCGTTGCTGCTCGTGATCGTAAAGCGACTCTTGATCACCGCGAATGAACGATTCTTAATCTGTTCGGACTACTATTGACTTTAGTTTTAAGGATTAAAAATGAAAAGAACCCACAGGAAAAGAAATGATGTCGAATTTTTGGTATTACTCACGCGACCGAGAAATTTACCATGATCATCGCCGTTTAAAAGAGAATCGATCCTTGAATAGAGAACATTAAAGGAAAGGAAAGAGAGAAAGAAAACAAAAAAACGTGGAGAATCGCAGATGGTAAGAAATAAAAGGTATTCGAATAAAGACATCTTTTTTTGAAAAGAATTATAAAAAGATTGACAAGGACTTATTGTTAGAATGAGACGCACATTCGGTATTAAACACGAAAAATAATGTATAATTTGAAATCAGTATTTTCGCGGTCTGATGCTGACGAGCTAGTCGAAAAAAAAAATATGTAGCGTAAAAGTGAATACTTATGAAACACGAACGCCGTTTATGAACCGTGAACGTAGCGTTGCGAAACCGAACTGCTTTGAAATTCGATTATACGAAACGTTTGAACGTGTATACTTTAGATTTAGCGAGTGACCAATTTATGGTGTTTTATTTCCCACAAATTTTCTATTACCGTAAAATAGAGATACCAGAAAGAAATTAAAAAAAAAAGAAGAAAAGAAAGAAATATATTAATCAATTGAATGTTTCGCTCGAATTCGAATCAATAAATTATTGATAATTAATTATCGTAGATCGTTTGCAATAACTTAAATATAATTACATTTAAAATGAGAAAAGGGGAAGAGAGAATATTGCCTATTGTTCGTAAGTAAATTATTTTATTTTTTTACTGTCTCTTTGTACCGTTGGACTTTTCTTATCGATAAAAAAGTTTGAGATTGTTTGTAAAATGTTGAAGAAAGAAAGTCTCGAAGAAAGAAAAAGAAAGTTTTCTTCCTAGTATAGAAGAGGACTTGAACGATGCCGAGAGGAATCGAAGGTATTGGACTCTGAAAATTTCTGTCGAGTATGCGTACTTAAGATACGGTTTACGATCAGTGACATCTACTTGGTCCGATATCAGCCGTCTTAAGAAAAAGATAGGATGGAAAAAGAAGAAGAAGAAGAAGAGAGAAACGTTGGACACCGTGACAAATCGTTTTGGCGATTTCGCGTGGCGGCACGAGCGGAAGCGATCGATGACGATAGGACTTCCTGTCGGTTTTTCGAAGAATTCCGAACCTGAGGTTGGATCTAACCGAATCTAATGCGAATACACGCGCGTAGAGAAATCGCCCCGAAGGGTAGTGATTGAGGGCCACCCTATAAAGGACGAGCAATAAGCGTCGAAAGACGCTTCTTTCTTCTTTTTGACTGATTGTGAGTGAGTAACATAGAAAGAAAGAAAGAAAGAGAGAGAGAGAGAGAGAAAGAGAACTTGCGAAAAATCAAAGAGCTTTGGCAAAAACCTGTTACTAATGAAAAGCCAATGTTCTCTTCTTTCAAACTTGATGTTGAAAAGTCGACAAGTTATTTCACGAGTTAATATGAATTCGAAACTATTAAAAAGATTTGATTAAAAAAGGGAAAAACGAAAACAATATTAATAAAAAAGGAAAAAAGAATTATCGTCGAAAGAAAAATAAGGCGTACGATTTTACTGGGCCGACTTCCGGAAAAAACATTAACAACTAACTTTATTTCTATTCGTTTTCTTTCTCTCTCTCTCTCTCTCTCTTTCTCTCTCCCTTTTTTTTATTTCTCCTCGTCTTGTTTCGTCCTCGTTTCAACTAGGAGTAACAGCTAATAGAATTATGCAAATCGAAAGCGCGTCTCACCGCCGAGGGCTATAAAGAAAGTCCGTCACGATATTTTTTACGCGTAACTAGCGCGGAATATCGGGGATGCAATGAATTTTTCTCCTCTCGGCGTCGTCGTTCGAAGCAATGCGCCGTCACGTACAGTCCTGAATATTTTATCGCATTTTACTCGCTCTTACACAGTCACTCGTCTACTTTGTGAATAGTAATTATGAGAGGAAGAACGTGTCACAAGCCATCAAGTATACCGGTGAATCGTATGGAAAAGAGAGATCATTATCGTTTTAAGCACGACAACCAATTTCAAGTGCAGGATATTTGTTCCAATATAATCGCACACACGTGATAGATCGATCATGCGAAACGAGATATTATATGCACACTTTACTTACTTATAACTGATCCGTTTTGATAACTTTTATTTTTCTCTATTCTCTTTTTCCTTATAATAATGATAATAATAATAATAATAATAATAATAATAATAATAATAATAATAATAATAATAATAATAATAATATATTAATAAAAGGATAATTGTATTGTGATAAAACGTAATACGTGCGCGCGTTCGATTAATACGATTAATTTTTAGTTTAGTAATTTGAAGTAACGAGAACGATAATAGAAGAGTCGATAAAGCTTAACTCGTATTCGTTAAGTGGAAATTTGGGAAGTAAACATGTAATGCTTTCAATCGAATAACAATCGCCTGAATAATGAAACTTTTAGATAATCGCTATGTCGATAATCGACGTTTCATTGAATTTCCAAATTGCGGATCAACACGCTTGTATATCGATTCGTACTAAATTTCTATAATGTTGTTTAGGAAAAATGTTCAATTATTAAATTTCTTGGTTACCTATCTATCGACATATTGTGTATGTATGCTTATATATATATACACATAAATGTGTATACGATACGTATAAATTCGTGAATATACCAACCGCGTTTCGAACACCGAGTTTAACACATTTCCTAGAGAATCACGATCCGCCATATTCGCGGCACGTAAATTGGAAAAGTCTTTGTCGTACTCGACGTTAAGCGTGTCTGACCTTGCGGAAGAACGGCTACGCTTTCTGCATTCTTAAGACGGCAACGACGAGAAGGAAAACTTGACGTCGATGTTAAGATAAGCCGACTGAACTAAGCAGGGGTCAATTTGTGAGGTAAGAAAGAAAAAAAAGAAAAGAAAAAAAGAGAGAAAGAGAGAAAGAGAGAGAGAGAGAGAATGAGAGAGTTAGAAAAACAGCGAAAAATCAAGGCTCGCGTCGTTCCTTGCATTTCGAGGTACAAGTAGAAAAACGTTCGAAAAACTCTCTACACTCGCTAGTAAAATCTTTTTCCTTTTCTCGCATCCTCTTTCCTTTTCCATTTCAGTTACCGACCACCAAAATAGATCGAATGTGTTAGACCATAAAAACCATTTTCGTATAATTTTGTTCAACCTTATTTTTTGTTTCATGAAATAAAAAGTTAGAAAAAAGTTTTACCACATTAACGTTATTCTCAAATATTATTAAAGAGAACAATTTAATCTGCAATATTTTTGATAAAAAATTATAAACTCTTCCTAGATGAAAAAATATAATTTCTTGTTATTTATTTTCTCGTATGTAAAATCAGGATCTATCAATGGATCATGAGAGTTTAATATTCCATCGAGCTAGCATCCACTTGGAGTCGGTGGTGGCGTCGATTCGTGCATCGATTTCTCTCAACGCTCTTTGAAATAAATCGTTCGTTCGAGGGAAAAGGGACCGATGGTTCGACGTGCATAAAACTGTATAAGAGCGAACGTTATCCAATTAACGGCTTTCGAGCTATCATCCGGGATATCTACGTGGATCGTAGCTTTTGATATCGGAAATACAAAGCTAAGCCTTTACGCTTGAGTTTTCGGAAAAAAAAGAGAGATAAAAAAAATGACAGGCGAAACGTTTGGCCTTCGTACGTAGGTACGCAGGTAC